GAACGCAGTCACCGCCGCTGCTGCCAGATCACTATCCCTATGTCTTGCTTTCTGTGACAGGCATGACAAAAATAAGATGTTATATGATGCCAATGAGACAACTTACAACAAGCTGATATTTTACTAGCCAGAAGAACAAGCTTTCTGAGAGTATTGCATGGCAACACATAGTCCCCTACCAGGTAAAAATTCATTATACTGGAACAAAATGCTAGCTTATTCTATAACTTATCATAGTGTAAACAAAAAGAAAATATCAAGTCAATATCTTCAAGCATGACTAAAAACAGTGTGATAATATGAGTGAATTTTTCAATTCCTAGGACCATAACTCTGCATAAAATTATCAGACCGAAACAAAAATTTGAACTTGATCTGTAACTTGTCATGATAAAACTATAGACCAATTATCAATCAATATCTTCAAGCATGATGAAAAAAAGTGTGGAAAACACACTAACATTAGATATGATTAATAGTTCTCTTAAATTATACATGATGTGATACATGCATATTTTGGTATTAATATTGATTCACTCATAGGGTCTTTGCATCGGAAATAAACACATTTATTCTAAAACCAGTTGTTGGCATGATACGGGTTATGTTCTTCTCATATATTTTATGATGGGATGATACTAAACGGGAGGGATTGTACTTGATTTTCACATGATGAAGACATAATCTTTCAATCAGTTTAATTGAGGTCTGGAGCTGGCATCTCAATAACTGCTAGTAGTCCTTTGTTCATTTATGTATCATTGTCATTTTGCTTAGTTTCTTTTGTTACCTATTCCGACATCGGACTCGGACTTCTTTTAAACTGAGTTTTACTGTGCGTATTGCTATGTGTTTCTTTGTTCTACATTGGCTAGAGGTATAGGGGGAGGGTTGAGATCTCACAAAACATGTTTAACCCCGCCGCATGTTTGCGCCTGTCCCAAGTCTGGAGCCTCTGGCATTTGTTAGTCTTGTATGTTTATTAATTTTAGTTCATTTATATGTTTTGGAGTTTAGTGTGACGTCCATTTTCACTGAACTAGTACACAATTTTCTTTAGGGGCTAGCTGAAGACCACCTCCGGGTGCGAGATTTTCTCGCTGCGTTGAAGACCCATTGGTGGCCTTCGGCTGTTGTCAACTTTTATCTATACATAATGTAATGTAATGAAATATATACCTTAATAAAGATAGATTATTATCTAATTAAAGGATTTCACTTCATAAAAAAAAAATATATATATAGCATTTAGAAAATTAGTTTATAAAAAATAACAAAAACTTCAAACAATTTACCAAAGAATGTCTTTTAAAAAACGAGTTATCTCCCTTTGTACAGAAATATGGTTTAACATACAAAATGTATTACTCTAACATTAGATATGGACCATGATAACTCTGGACTAAATCATCAGACCGGAACAAAATTCGAACTTGAACTATAACTTGTCATGATAAAACTATATACCAAATATCAAATCAATATATTCAAGAACGAAGAAAAAAGTGTGGAAAACTGATTTGCCGGACTGACGGATGGACAGACGGACGGACAGACGGGCGGAGTGCAAATCTAAAGTCCCCTTCGACTTCGTCGGTAGGGGACTAATAAAATGCATGTATGTATTTAGTAAAGCTCAGCTAATTATAACTGACATTGTATTTGTTTCTTTCCATTCTGAGCAAAAAACGTCAGACCTCTTCCTCCTCTGTTGTCATTGTAATTACCGGGGGCACATCTGATCCGCATGATACTAGTTTGTCTATTTTTCATGTGAATATTAGGAGTATCAGAAATAAGATTGATTATATTGTCAACATTGTTCAGGACTTTGATATCATATTTTTCACTGAAAGTCACTTAGATGGACAAATATTAGATTCTGACGTACGTATAGAAGGTTTTGAGTCTCCTGTCAGAAAGGATAGGAATGCACGTGGGGGTGGGATACTGATGTTTTACAAAAGTGGTGTTAATATAATTAGAATATTAGACCTAGAACATGAAAATGTTGAAAGTATGTGGTTTGAAATGAAAACCAAATTACAGTCTATATTAATAAATATAAATTACAGGTCGGAGAGACAGTCTCATGGCAATTATTGGCAATTTTTTGAACAGATGTTGAAAAAGGCCCAAGACGAGAACAACAATATTATTTACTTGGGAGATCTAAATAAAAATTTCCTACAAACACTGCCACAAAATTTGAAAGATATTTTTGCTATCAGTGGACTGGTAAATGTGGTCACAAAACCCACCCACTTTGACAGCCATACGGGTAACATGTCACTTTTGGATCCGATTTTAGTTACGGATTATATACCTGTTATAGATTGTGATACAATACCTATTGATAGACACGTGAGTGATCACAACGGAACTTATATAAGCTTAGACTGTGGCTTTAATCAAAAAAGATCATTCCAACGTTCTGTGTGGAACTATAAAAGGGGGGATTACATACTTATGCAACAAAAAATTATTGAAACAAATTGGTATAGACTTATAGTTGAGATTGAAGATGTTAATATAGCGTGTTCTAATTTTACAACTACATTTTAAGATATTGCAAAAGAATGTATTCCTAGAAGCGAGGTAACCATTCGTAGTGACGACAAAGTGTGGTATGATTCCAATTTACGTCGTGAATCGCGAAAACGGGACAGATTACGAAAGGTGTTCTTACGGACCAAAACGGAAACTGCGGAAATCAGATCTAAGAATCAACGGAATAGAGTAAATAATATAAAGAAACAAGCAAAAAAACAATTTTACGAGAACATTAACGAAAATCATGATGAGTTATAAACCACTAACAGTAAAATGTATTAGAAAACGATACATATGCTTTTAAAGGACGATCGTTCTACGAATGAGTTACCACCCCTTAGAAACCCTTGCGATAGTTTTAACCTTTCATATGACGTCATTGATAAAGCAGATATTTTAAACAAATATTTCTGTTCGATTTTAACTGTTGATGATGAAAATATTGATTTACCAGATTTTTCGGAGAGATGTAATATTATTTTATCAGAGATAGTTGTAACAGAACAAGAAGTTTTAGATATAATATCTACTCTAATCGCTAACAAAGCTGTTGGTCCAGATATCATCAGTCATAAAATGTTGATTTCAGTGAAGAACGTGATATCAAAGCCTTTGTGTATGTTGTTTAACAAGTCTTTACAAGAGAGAGTTTTCCCAACAAACTGGAAAATGGCACATGTCATTCCTCTGTTCAAAAGTGGGGATAAATCTTTACCATCAAATTATAGACCAGTTTCATTGCTCTCTTGTGTGAGTAAGATACTGGAGAAAATTATATTCAAACACATTTTTAATCATTTACAAGAAAATGTGTTGTTATATAAGTTCCAATCTGGATTTATACCAAGATTTTCTACCACCCATCAGCTGATAGAATTGTATAATTGAAGCTGCCCGAATAATCACAGGACTTCCGTCATTTGCCAATATTAATTCGATTTATATTGAGACTGGGTGGGAAAAATTAAAAACAAGAAGGGAAGTGAAAAAATTAATATTATTTTATAAAATTGTAAATAATCAGACACCGGACTATTTAACGGAGCTAGTGCCACCTACAGTCGCTGAAACTATTTCATATAATTTGCGTAATAGTCAAAATATTACACAACGAGCTAGTAGGTTAACCATGTATCAACAATCTTTTGTTCCAGCTACAGTCAAATTATGGAATTCTTTGGATTTGAGCTTGCGCCAACTTCCAACTTTCTCAAACTTCAAACTCAAACTGCAACAAAAGTACTTTCAGTTAAAGAAGAAGCCGAATTATTTTTACTGTGGAGATCGGTATATGAACGTTCTTCACACAAGATTAAGAAATGAGTGTAGTTCATTAAACGGTGATTTATTTCGTTGTAATTTGGTTCCTGATCCATCATGTTTATGTGGTTATAGAAATGAAAGTGTAGGACACTATTTGTTTGATTGTTACAGATACACTTTACATAGAAATACTTTATTTGGAGAGCTAACTCTGTTAGACTTAGGCGATTTACAACTAAATACTGATATTTTATTATATGGTAATGAACTCCTTACCATCGAAATAAATACTAAAATTTTTTTGAATGTTCATAAATATATTAGAGATACTGGACGTTTTCCTTCGCATAACAAACCATTGTAATTGTTATGATAATAAGTACACATACTTATCGCATGGTCATATCTGTCACCTTATTTAGCGAAATAAACATGTCGAGTCGATAAAATAATGGCAAACTTTGTAGCCTAAGTACTTTTGTAATAGCTATTAAACACATAGATTGTACTTACAGTCTAGAACTATGTGTATAAATCCTTTTTTCAAAACTCACATCGTAGTAGATTAACCTTCTATGCCATGCACAACGGTACACTATTGTATGCGTTATGTATGGTATATATATATATATATACGTGTTAAATGTACTAAGTAGAACACCAAATGATCAAATGGTGCGTTCGATTAGTTGTGTAAAATCATCGACTCGCAAAGTTTTATATACCTAAACCAATTTCCACTTCATTTTCAACGTCTTCATACGTTATAAAAAAGTATATGTATATATATATTGTATATTTCTTTTAATGTTCATTTATTTGTAAATTGTGTATGTACTGGAGAAGACATTATTAAGTTGTAAAACTTGTGTCTCATCCATTTGTTTAGTTTCTGAACAATAAAATATGTTTAAACTAAACTAGTTGTAATTACTATATTTGGTGTATGGAATGATTGTAAGGTGTAGATGTCAAACTGGTAGGTGTAATCTGACCTTGACATTATTTTCAGGGTTCAGTGGTAAAAGTTAAGTTTTTGTGGTTTGGTCTATTTTTAGTTTTTGTAGTTTGGTCTGTTTCTCATATATTATAAGTGATATGTCAATTATATTCGGTGTATAAGCAGAAATTCATTTATGTACTTAATTTGTTGAAAATTTAGGTTTATCGATTCTTCAACATACTTTGTTTTTGTTTCCTTAGATTCATGAGCTTGTTTCTCTTCCATTTCTTTTGAATCTTTGTGTTTGTGTTTCTTATCTTTGGGGGTTGCTTGTTGATTTGCTGTAGATGGCTGTTTTGTGGGATCTATTGAATCTGTGGCCTTGACCAGCTGATTTGACGCATGTTGTTGCCCCACTGAACTAGAAAAGTTTACCTTGGAACGCCTGTTTACTACAAAATATTTTTCTCTGACATCGATAGTTGTATATAATAATACATCTCCTGCAGATGACTTAGTTATTGTAAGTTTTGATTGTTCATTTCTCAATAAATTCTGAAACCATGGCAGTCCAGTTTCTTCTATTTTAACTCTTTCTTCAGCAATACATGCCATCACTTTCTTTATCATTTCACCTGCTTCTTGTTTATCAAAAGAAAATACATTTAATAGTGATTGGTCAGCAACTTCAACAACATCCCATGTTACAACCAAGTTATCAATGTCAAGGCATTCATTTATAAAATTAATGACATCAGACTTTTTCAAAATTTGTGCTTGTATGCTGTGAATGCTAAGAGTTGCTAACTTCAAACTTTCTTTACACCTTTCCACATTATCTTTAGCAAGTTTTAGAACTTGCATATCTTTACCTTTAAGTTCAATTGTATCTTCTTCAATACTCACAGCTATACCAGGTGGGATGCGACATTTAAAGAAATCTGATTTCTCCATACATTTAATCTGCTTGCAATTATAGTTAAGCTTAACTGTGTGATTTTGACCACCAGCATTTGTTGTTCCAGTTGCTTGTTTTCTTTTATCATATTTGCACTTTGGTCTACTTCCAGTAGTACCAGAATGTTGTTGATTTCCTGAAACCTGTGCAGCTGAATAAAAGAAGAAGTTTCAATATTTAAAAAACATTGTGAAAACTATATTAATTCTTATTCAAATTTAAAATTAAGTGTCAAACTATGTCATTAAAGTGATCTTTTTCAGAATAACTTATTAAAACCACACATTTTGTGGAATATTAAGGGAAGACAGATTAGAAAAGAATGACTGGATTGTTGAATGAAAACAAACACTATTGAACTGCAAGGAATATTATTTATTATTAAATTACTTTAAAATATGTATCTTTTGAAGATTCAATGTCTGAGAAGATAAATATACAGTGTCCAAGATTAGGGGACGGTTTGGCGCCAGTAAACATGTTAAACTCTGCCTCATTCTGTGTGTGCCTCTCCCAAGTTCCTAATTCAGAGGTTGTCATTTGTTGCTATATATCATACTTGTTTTTCATTATTGTTTTGTACAACAGATTTAAATACGCTACCAGTGAACATCAGATTAAAACATTTATTTGTAGTACAGCAAGCTTGTTTCTAACTTTATTTTGAACTGTTTTACTATCAAACAATCTGTGGTCAATTGATATCGTGCCTTACTATATTTTCGTCTAAATTTGATATTTATATATTTATATTTCAATAATGGAAACATAATGTGTATCATATCATGACAGTGCATCATAAGCCTATTTGGCTGGCTAAAAATCACTTGTATATTTGAATATAATTGTTTGTTATAATTCAGGTTGCACTTCAATATTTAAATATTCATTCATTCATTGTACATTCAATGTATATAAATCAGGCCGCTTGTTGAAACTGTTTTGTCATTTTGAGGCCTTTTATACTTACTATGCGGTATTGGTTTCGCTCATTGTTGCAGGCCGTACAGTGACATATGGATGCTAACTTCTGTCAACTTTCCATACACTGATAAATAAATTTTAAAGTTACACAATGTCATCAAAAGTACGGTGTCCCACAGTGGTGTATGGTTTAAATCTACTATGGACTGGAGTTTTCATATGCCACATTAGCATTTTTAGTTGGATCAGCAGGTGTCACTCAGTACACAAACTGATTTAATAATACTGGAAACAATCTGAGGTGGTGTCATTTTATTGTTTATCATGCATGGATCATATTACACAAAATGCTGATTTACATTATTGTACTTCCTAAGTGTCCAATCTATTAAGTTTACATCAAATGTTATACAAATATTTTTTCTGTCTTAGCCGACCGTGCAAGGGCTGTATAGCCAGTCAAGGTCGTTAAAAACTTCCATTTGTTGTTGTCCGTAGTACAATTAAACTTTTCTCTTGGATTGTCAAGTATACATACATTATGAATTCAAACTATCTTTATATAACTGATAACTGGGTGTACTACCCATATATACATAATTAGTGTTCATTTATACAATGTATCTCCCTCTTTGTAGTAACAGTTACACAGACATATCATAGTCCTGAAAGTATCATTTGATAGCCTCTAAATATAGCTGGACTGTTACGGCAAACTCCATGACAAATAATATTCATGTGTTGTCACCACTGGCAATTTTGTAATAATACCTGTCAGCCACCTGAACCAACATTTGTCGAACTAGTGGACATATGATGAGACCTGGTAAAAATCTTCAAACTTGATACATGTGCTTTGATTATATCTGTAGATATATATATATATATATATATATACAACTCGTCTAAACATCAGCCCAACAATGTTAGATCTGTAAATTTGCTTTCGCAAATTTTTTGTTCTTCCCTCGCCGGGATTCGAACTCATGCTACTGAGATATCGTGACACCAAATCGCCTGCACTGTATCCGCCGCGCTAGACCACTCGACCACCTAGGCTTCACAATAATAAAGCCTTCGGTGGCCGGGTATTACCTTTCCTCGTCAGTTTTAATCTAGCGTCGTAACACAGTACATGATATATAAGTCATGAAGATGGAATTGTTACAGATCAGCTGAAATATCTATTGTAAAGTATCCTACAAATTAATGCAAGATACAGTCACTGAAATAATTATATTTATAAGTACGTCTGAACCAGTGACAACTCTGCAACAGATTGATCCATCGGATCAACAACAGTGATGGTGATACATGGCTGTGTACATTATATATATATATATATAGTTCAGTCTAGGTGGTCGATCGTTTTAGATCGATGGACACAGTGCAGGCGGTGTTGTCTCGATATCCCAGTAGTATGAGTTCGAATCCCGGCGAGGGAAGAACAAAAAATTGCTTCCGCAAAAATGCAGATTTAACATTGTTGTGCTGATATTTAGAGTAATTATATATATATATATATAAACAAGTCTAAATTGAAAACAACGTTCAAACCTACGATTGCGTTGGATAAAAACCGCGATTTTTATACGTGTATACGTGTGCATGCAAAAAAAATTTCTTGTAAGAGGGGTCAAAATAAACAACATTTTCCAAAAGACCAAAAAAGTGAAAAAGTATATTTTAACAAAACGCATTTGATATATATATATATATACAAGTCTAAATTGAAAACAACATTCAAACCTATGATTGCGTTGGATAAAAACCGCAATTTTTATACGTGTGCATGCAAATCACATTTCTTGGTAGAGGGGTCTAAATACAGCACGAACAACATTTTCCAAAAGACCTAAAAAGTGAAAAAATATATTTTAACAAAACGCATTTGACTAGCAGGTCGAAAACGGATGTCCTTAAACCCTGCTGACTGCCATCGCGATTGCCAAATAAACGGATCACCAGATGTAACAAAATGAATCTTAATTATACATTTAATACGAAACAGAAAACAATAAACATGGGGAAAAGTTGGAATACCGCAAACATGAGGTGCAAAAATTTGTACACCATATCCGGATTTCGACAATTAATGTCTCTTCAGTGATGTTAGGAATCCAAACGGTATTTGGAAGGCCATATAATTTACCTCAATTTAGGATTGAATCTTGAATTTTGAAGAGTCATAATAGGATGAACGGATTATATAAACTCGAAGGCAAATATAATACAAGCCCAAACGAAAAAATATAAACAAGTCTAAATTGAAAACAACGTTCAAACCTATGATTGCGTTGGATAAAAACCGCAATTTTTATACGTGTGCATGCAAAACAAATTTCTTGGTAGAGGGGTCTAAATACAGCACAAACAACATTTTCCAAAAGACCAAAAAAGTAAAAAAGTATATTTTAACAAAACACATTTGACTAACAGGTCGAACAACGGATGTTCTTAAACCCTGCTGACTGTCATTGGCGATTGCCAAATAAACGGATCACCAGATGTAACAAAATGGATCTTAACAATTAATTTAATACCAAACAGAAAACAATAAACTTGCGGAAAAGATGGTATATCGCAAAAAAAAGTGCAAAAATAAGTACACCATATCCGGATTCGACAATTAATGTCTCTTCAGTGATGTAAGGAATTGAAACGGTCTTGCCACTTCTAGGATAAGCCAAAAATTGGAATCGAGCTGAAATAAAAATTAATACAAATAGTTATATTTTTTATTTAGACATACACTGTACAATCATGATAAAATATATAACACAAGTTTTGTCCATGAAAGTAAATCTTCATGGGATAATTTTTTTAAAGTGTCAGATCAAAAGTTTGATTTTTGAAAAAAAATTGTAGAGTTTGAGAGATACAATTATGTTAAATTATCATACATGCATACATCAGTTTTTACCTAACGCATTTAAAATTAATGATAGTATAACAAGCATTCTGTGAGTATTGCCTGGCAATACGTAGTCCTATACCGGTTAGAAAATTCATTGTACTGGAACTTAATGCTAACTTGATGTATAACTTTTCATGGTGTAAACTATATAACAAATATCAAGTCAATGTCTTCAAGCATGACGAAATGTTTTTTGAATATTGATTATTTGAGTGAATTTTCAAAGTCCAAGGACCATAACTCTGCACAAAATCCTCAGACCAGAACAAAATTTGACCTTGATCTGTAACTTGTCATGATAAAACAATATACCAATTATCAAATCAGTATCTTCAAGCATGATGAAAAAAATGAGGAAAACTGATTATTTGAGTGAATTTTCTAAGTCAAAGAATCATAACTCTGCACAAAATCATCAGACCGGACCAAAATTTTCACTTGATCTGTAACTTGTCATGATGAAACTATAAACCAATCATCAAATCAATATCTTCAAGCATGACAAAAAAGTGTGGGAAACTGTTTATTTGAGTGAATTTTCTAAGTTCAAGGACCATAACACTGCACAAAATAGTCAGAATGGAACAAAATTCGAACTTGATCTGCAACTTGTCATGATTACACAATACACCAAATATCAAATCAATATCTTCAAGCTCGAAGAAAAAAAGTGGGAAAATTATTTGCCGGACTGACAGACGGTCAGAGTGCAAACCTAAAGTCCCCTTCGACTTTGTCAGTAGGGGACTAATAAGGATAGACTATGCTTGTTATATTTCATATTTTATTCTACATAGATCTGTGTTTAAAATTGGTAGACTTTTTTCCAGCAGACTAAAAAAAATGTATTTCAAGTACAATATCATACAAATAACATCAATATTAAAGGTCAATCATTTTTGGGAGACAAATTACAATGACCTTTTCTTATTGACATCACTTTCCCAAAATGCATTTGCACACTGATAATAAGTCACGTCTCAGTCATTACAGCTGAATGGACGGGCTAGTCAGCTCCTCTTTACCAGCTATCTACGATGTTGGTTTACTGATAGAAGGCTCAGCAAAGTACTACTTTCGATGACAGAAACCAATCCAAAGCTATATAGTCTTCATTTTCCTTGGTGTATATACCCGCCTCAGCATACACTACATGCAATACATCTTTGTATAAAATTCAGGAAATTCAATTGTTTTTATAAAGATTTGAAAAAAACAATGCATATATTTTTGATTGTACAAGTTTGCAGTGGTACGAGTTCGTAATGACATGTCTTCGCAGTGGTACAAGCTAACGTGATAAGAGTTTG